TTTTCGAGGTTGTTTACTTCGTTTCTGATAAACTTTTAAGGGAGAAGAATCTTTAATCGACGACATTAATTGAGTCGAAAATGAAGAATGTTAGAGTTTATAAAGAAGTAAAAATTAAGTAATGAAGTGAAATTAAACTAGAAAATGAAGTAGTTATGCTAATTAGTCGGAAACGTGAAATTAAGTCGATAGTAATGGAGTGTAACTGTTAGAAATGGAGTGGAAGAAGAAATCGTGGGTGAGAAGAAGAAGGAGGAAGGAGGAACGATGGAAGAAAAACAAAAGGTCTATTTAAGGTTCGGGCCACGCGCGGGCTAATATTTAATAGACGGGCCGAGCGCGGGCCAGTAAATAGAACGGACTCACATGAGTCCGTTCTACACAATATTTTTCGATATATATATATATATATATATATATATATATATATATATATATATATATATATATATATATATATATTTCATAACACTCCCCCTTGGATGTCCATTGTCTAAGAATGTGCGTCATTAAAACCTTATTAGGAAAAACCCTATGGGATAAAAGTCTAACGAAGGAAAAAGAGTACAACATTTTTCGTAATACGCTTGGCATGCTGTCTTGTTAAAAACCTTACCAGGAAAACCAAATGTGGGACAAAACCATGGTTAAGGGAAAAAGCGTGCAATGCATATTTGCTCCCCCTAATGAATGAATAACGTATTAACGTGAAATCTTCCGGTGCAATAAATCCTATGCAATATGGTTGGGTAACTTCTTCCATGTAACAGAACACCATTTCTTGATGATTGATCCTTTCAAATTGAACTTGAATCTTCAAATCTTCACATTGACTTATTGAGGCGTCTTCATTTCTTCATACTTGTGGACATAATACAAGTGTTTACCACTATTTCATTCGATAGTTTTGTTTCGAATTATCATAAAAATTAGATGTATGCCTTCTATGGAGGTCATATATACTATAAAATGATGATCAATAATGGATCACATTATCCAAATGTAATTTCATGGCAACACTTATTATCATCATATATATTTCATTTTCCTGTATCATAATAATTAAGAAATTAAACTAATTCTATATGTTGCTCATGGCTCTTCCGGACTATAAGAATATTATTCTCACTCAATGGTATCTCTACTCTATTCTTTAATTAGACATTTCATTTTTTATATGAGAATTCGCTAATGAATACAAAGACTTGTTGAATCTCACATACTCAAACTTCAGGTTGAGATATCGATGATGTAGTCACATTGACTTTTCATGAGTTTGATAATAATTGCAATATTCAATATAAAAAATATGTAGGGCTATGTATTTAAATACGTCGTATATAAGTTCTTCTAGAACTCTTCTTACATGAATCATAACAAGCTATTATTAAATCGACGTCATCAATAATTTCATCACTATTGTAAGCCCATTGGAATATAAATATTTCTTTGTAAGTTCCCATCAATGTTGTATATAGTTGGACAGACATTCACACATACCACAATTATTATATAGAAACTAACTAGTGCATGGAACATAAGATATAGGAATCACGATAAGATATTGAACAAAATATACAATGAGTAATGCATTTAACAACTTCCTAAACATGCAATAAGCAATCCATTAACCTATGACTCACGCAAGCACATGGGTATAAGACTCAAATTAATGTAAGACATTGTACAGTGTGGATTTAAAAATCCATATTTCATTGGAATTTTGGTCCATGATAAACTTTTGATGATTATCATCATGTCGACATCATAATGGACATATGTTTTAGATCCCTTATTAAATAGTCCATTCTATCATGCATAAGCATATTATTCATCGGTTCCATTGTGTACCGGTATCATAAAATTATTTTAATGTACATTTTGCATGCTATTTTATAATGATATCCGAATACATTTCTCATTGTTGGTACCATCATAACATTTCTTACATAATAGGCCATCTATTATAATAATTCAAATATCTATACCACCTATCAAGAGTATTTCTCACACTATGATATTAATATACCATTATTATACTTTATCAACTGCACTATCTTTCCATATATCACATATTTATATTGGAACCGATCATGCAAACTACACTTCAGGTGCAGTGATTTAAAGAATAATTGGCAAGATCTATCTTAATGTTTGCACATAATATCATTATCACTATAATCAAAATATATCTCTCTATTCCTCTAGATGGGTCATAACAGTATACAAATCAAATCATAGATGTGCAACAAAAAGTAGGCATGTAACTTTACAAAGTATCATTAGAGGGATCAACTAATTACAGTTTTATAATTTTTCCAACTTACTTCAATTCTCCCCCCTAAGTTGGTAAGATATCTCAAATATTGGGGCGATTCTTCACCAACTTATAATATAATTTCATGTGCATCAAATTTCATCTCGTTGGATAATCATATATATTCAACAAAGTTCTATCTCTTCTAGAGAGTAATGAAATTTTGTTCTCTTCTATAGATCAATATTAATAGGGGTAATAAATTGTGCAGTTGCCAATTTCTTATTCTATTCCTTATGTGCTGACATACAATAGCCCAAATCAAGAGAATTGTACAAATATAAAATTTCTTGTAATTTCATTAGGTGGTGATCTTCGAGATCACTAGAAACATTGACAGTATGATACTAGTTACTTAAAATTTCTACATATAACTTGTACGTGGTGAGCTTCTGGTCAACTTCTAGTGAACTTCTGGCTACCAATTATTCAGAAAAACTAATGTATTATCTCTTGAACTTTTCTTTTTACACAAATTATTAAAAATCACAATCCAAATATAGCTCAATCTCAATGTTATGTCTTGCCATTTAATTTATTTCATGTATTTAACATGAGAGAGCGTCAACACATTATTTCTTTCATATCAAATGAAATTTTAGGTTTTCATAACGGGAATTTATTAAACCCCGAATGGCCTAATTATTAATATCACATCCAATCACTTTTCCTTTAATATTTAAATTATGGTCAGTTTAATAATATTAGTGATCACCTTATTAGAGATACTTTATGCATCGCCATGAATATGATGTGATATAAGTACACCAATGTATTTCTTTCTACAATTGGCAAGACAATTAACTAATACTCATACTCCACTATAGCATTGATTGTAATCTTATACATGCTAATCTTGTTGCACAACATTTTATATTCTTCTAGAGTACTTTATATAACCATAACACATTTTAATGTACTAGAAATGATCTCTTCAGGAGATGCATCAAAATGTGTGACTTTCTTAAATTTGTCATTGTCAATTATTGCTCTTTTCTTCTTCCAAGGATTCTTATTGTTGTAACCCTTTGGGTTACCATACTTCAGGCGTGCTAGTTTCAATAGCAACTGATCTTATCCTTTTAGGACATCAACTTAATATGTACATTTATAGCTAGTATAAAAATAATGACATTTATCCATATCCATCTTCAAGATGGTATCATTCAAAATATTTGATTATCATGTGGCCACCTCTATTAAATAAATCATTGAAATAGACTAGTGTATGTACCAAACTGACCATCAACATATTTCATTATTTATGTGCAAGAATTACATAAAAACAATGTAATAAACACTATCTCCCACTAATCCTTGCATATGGGGGTATAAAAATAGTCCAACAATCTTTAAATCCATTCTCTTTTCAATCCATAAATTCTTTTAGCAATGCATGCATGTATCAAACAAAGCAAAGTTATTATTTTCCTCTTGCCCAATTATAAGAATCGTTATATTGAAAATTCTCAAAAGTGTGTCATGCTCATTTTCTTAAAATTCATAAGATTATTTCTTACTCAACTGAATATTATGTACTCATGCATATTTACATTTATTATGAACTTTTCAATTATATATGATCAATAAAACATCATGCAAATTCTTTTTCACTCTGAGAGTGAGTTAATCTAGTATCACTTATTCTCACCCAAAGTTTGGTATCTAGATTACTATTCAAAATCTTTTGTACATAAATTCATTCTTATACTTTAGAAACTATTAGAAATTTCTAAGTCAAATACGTACCTTCATTTTTCTTCAATTATTTTCATTATGACCCTTCATAAATTTGAGGAATTTCAAGTCCATATATATGAGTATTTCATGTTCAATCTACTCATCATCATTCATATAATTCAACTTAATGTAGGCATAGAGTATCATATATATAATCGAATCCTATCGCACATTAATCAACATTTCAACATTGATCCTAAATAATTGAGAATAATGTGGGAGTAACTTAAAATATGGGTTGATCCTAAACGGGTGAATCAATCCAGAATATATACAACAAACTTGGCACTCAATTACTTTTCTACACGAAATTTCATATATAAACTAACATTATATTCTTGTATATTGCATTATTAACAAAGGTAACCCAATGTAAATCATGCTAAGGCCGATTGATACGAGGAATGGTTAAGATTAGTCAAAACTACTATATAACTTCACACCCATACAACATAATGGAATGTAATCAAGATTGTAGTAAATTAATATCAGTTATTCTCATAGAGTTAGTTTTATCCTTATCCAGATACGCATATTACTAGTATTAGACTATTAGGTATCATGCAAATTTCATTCCTCAATCAAACCAATAAAGATTATTAGTAATAAAAGTTGTAGATGAACATATATAATATAAGAGTAGAGAAGACTCGAATTAATCTATTAACAAGTATGTGGCCTTAAATAGGCTTACAAGAGAATAGGAAGTCTAACCACTTTGACTGGTTAAGCAATTAGCTTTATGTTTGTCATCGTAAAAATAAACAATTGGTCAATATTAAGGATGCAAATTAGAATTGATTTCCTAGTCATTACAGTATTTTTGGGCTTTGGGTTGAACTAACGTTTAGGAGTATTACCTAATTGCCTCACAATTTTTTTTTTTTTTTTTTTTTTTTTTTTTTTAGACAGTGGCTATAAAGAAAACAAACAAACAAGAACATTAACTTCTTCGCATCCTTCCTGCTGCTAAGTGCGCTGGTTGGACCAGATCCCTTTGCACCTTCAAGCAAACTAGGAAATCAATCTTTGTTGCCATGAGTCGAATCTCATCCACTATATTCCTTAAGGTTAGTGGAGCCTGGGATGGATTGATAAGTGCTCTTATTACCCGCTCACAATCTGACTTGATGACTATGTTGCGATACTTCCTCATATTGTCCTTGAGTGCCCAAAAAATCGCATACCCCTCTGCTTGGATTGCATCTTGAGCTTGAATTTTCCTGGCTTCTCCTTGGACCTCTTGACTGCTGTCTTCTGTCTGCCATGCCACGGCTGCAGTCCAGCTCGATCTGTCTTTATATTTCTTCATCTTCCACGCTGCATCCACTATGATTGAAATCCTAGAGTTGATTGAGGGAGTACCAGCAGAAAAGATTAGAGGAACTAAAGCTCCTTGAAAGTTTTGCTGTGATTGCTGTTGCAAGCGGTCCTCCTCCCTTAGCTTTAAGGCTCTAAGCCAACTACGAGCATGTACCTGCGTTAAGTCCAATATTGACTTTGGACTAACACTCATGCCTCTGAAGATAATCTCATTTCTATGTAGCCAAATTGCATACAACAACACCAAAATTCTCTCTGAGACCATACCCTCTTGCTCCAGCTTAAAAGAGTACCAAAGTAGGTCCATGAGCCACTGCTCCAACTGAACATGATTGTTTACCTCTGTTCGAATTCCGAACTCTCCCCACCAGGCTCTCTTCACTACCTCACAGTCCCTAAACAAGTGCTCAATTGTTTCCTCTCTCTTATTGCAAAACACACACCCTTCTTCCATCAACAGTCCTCTCTTCATTAGATTGTGCTTTGTGGGGAGCTTATTTCTGATCACCTTCCAGCCAAAGAGCAGAATCTTCGGCCACAACCTTACTTTCCAATATTTGCCCCAAAAGCACACACCACCTCCCGCTCCCTCTTCCTCAAACTGACTCCAATATCCTGACTTTATAGAGTATCTACCTCTGCTGTCCGGGATCCAAATTTTACAATATTTTTTCCCTTCCGAGGGCAGGCAAATGCTTAGAACCTTCCTAGCGTCCTCTTCTGCGAAGGCTTTCCAGATTAGAGCCGAGCTCCATATATTCTGAGGGGTGATCAAATCTGAAACCATTTTTACTTCCTCACATCCATCAAATTCCCGCATAGTTACCTTCTCTCTACCAAGCCAGATGTCCTGTCGAATATCAATATCTTTGCCATCCCCAATTGAAAACCCAATGTTTTTTCTCATTTCGAAAGCAGCTTTCACTATGCTTCTAGACGGCCAAGATCCCGATTTTGGTATCCTTCCTTTGTAGCCCAAAGTAATAGGATCAGCTCTATATTTCCCTGAGAAAACTCTGCTTACAAGAAGCCCCGGGTTATTAGCCATTCTCCACCCTTGTCTTAGAAGTAAAGCCCTGTTTAGATGCAATACACTCCTTATCCCCAAGCCTCCATTAGATTTATGGTTGCAAACAACCTCCTTTCTTGCCCAATGAATAGGCTTCGAACTGTCTGAGTTGGTCCAAAGGAATATTAGAATTAGGGACATGATTGCATTCGACAGGACTTTCGGGCACCAATAAATCGACAAGACATGTTGAAGAGAGGCAATCAACACCCCATTAATCAAAATAAGTTTCCCTGCCATTGTGAGATGGGAAAACTTCCAAGCTGCGATAACCTTAGCGACCTTGTCATGCAGGAATTTCACTTTCGAGGAAGTCCTACCATCCACATCCATGGGGCAACCTAGATAAGTACCCAGTTCCTTAGTACTTTTCACTCCTAGGGGCTGTCGTAGAATCCTTACAAACCTTGTAGGTGTATTAGGACTGAAGATGATAGAAGATTTTTGCATATTGATCACTTCTCCTGAAAGGTGACAGAAAGCATTCAAGGTTTCCTTAACAGTTCTTATCGCTTCTGGAGTTGCCTTGAAGCAAAATAAGGCATCATCTGCGAAAAATAGGTGGGATATCGAGGGTGCCCTTCTAGCAACCCTTATACCCTGCAATTTTCCCAGGCTCTCAAGGCGACGAAACTTAATTGACAGACTTTCCATTAGGATAATGAACAGATATGGCGAAAGTGGATCCCCCTGTCTCAGACCCACCTTAGGGATGAAAAACTTTGAGGGTTCACCATTCACCAGAACCGAATAGCTAACCGTGCTGATGCACTCATAAATCCACCCTATCCATGCCTCTGGTAACCCCATTTTCTTCAAGATCATCATTAGGAAGTCCGATCTTACCCTATCATAAGCTTTGCTTAAGTTCACTTTTAGGATAGCCTCGAAGCGCCTTCCCTTTTTCCTGTGTTTAACTTCATTTAGAATTTCATGAGCTAGGAAGCAGTTATCCACCATCATTCTGCCTGGGATGAAGGCGCTTCGATAATTTTGTATTTGATTTCTTAAAATTAAAAAAATAAAATGTGAGTCTCTTTCGTTATTGACTGAAATAAGTTATTTTCTTATGTGGCGCTCCAAATGCTCGCAAAAAATGCTTACTTTATGTATATACTAATTATTTGTCCGAGTAATGCTTTGATATTCACTAAAAAAATATTTTTATAAATTACTCTAAGTTGTACTTGTTTATAGGTTTACATTCAAATATCTATTAATTTATGTTATCAAATTATTATAGATGAGACATGTTAATATAAAATATCCTTATTTTTGTAGTTTGCTGAAAAATTATTTATGGAGTATGAATTTAAATTGAGTTAGAATCTCTTTCTTTAGTAGGAAATGAACAATTGATTTTATAGATTAACAAATAAAGATTCAAGGGAATATAGAAGATTTTCTAATCTTAATATAATTAAAACTTTTTTTTTTTTTTTTTAGTTTGGTGATATTCTATTCGCAATTCATCAGCAATAAATTTCAGTTGAATTGTTTTCGAAAATTGTAGGTATAAAATCACTAATTTTACTATGACTTTACGTTGTTAATAAATTTTTCATCTTGTAGACATCATTCGAAGCGCGCCTACGTTAAGCATGATATGAATATGCTTGGCACTCATAGGAAGTGGAAATTGATATATACGATTAGGGATAAAGTAAAGTAGTGACCCGCCAACAAGTTTTTAAGAAACTTGTAAACCGTTCACGAATCATTAAAATAAAGGCAACCACGATAAAGGGACAACGATCAGCAATATCGATTAACCCGTGAAGGTTACACCCCATAAATAATCCATGAGATAACTAACTCCATATGGTTCGAATTCATGAAAGAATGATCGAGGATGATGGTACAAACCTATAACTGCCCGCAGAGGTAGTTATGGGTTTCGTACCCATTTCCGTGCGCCCGCGGAGTCTTCGTGGAGAGGGCGCGACCAATCAACTTTTCTTCTTTGTCTATATATACTCTTGTAAATCCTTTTAAAGGCGAACTTTTTAGATAATATTTCATTTGCTTAGTTTTTAGGAAGAGAAACTAGAGAGAAGTTAGAGAGAAAGTAGAGATTGTAATCTTTGGATTTGAATTGTAATTCAACATTGTTTCTTTAATCAAGTTTTTGATTCTTCTTCATATCAATCTAAGTTAGTAAGTTTTCTTTCCTTTGAATTTACTTCAATTGCAATTACTTTTATGCTTGAATGTTTGGTTTGGATTTTGATTTAGTTTTGAGAATTTGTTGATTGATTGAATTTCCTTTTGATTTAGCTTGAAATAAATGTGTTAGTGATTTAATTTGTTTTAGCTTTAGAATTCACCATGATTAGTGAGTAGATTAGTTGCAAGGGAGAAGGGGAAGCATGCTTGATTGATGATTATTCTTAATTGATGATCCTTGATTGATTGATTGTTGCAATTAAATTGGTTGACATAGTTGTGCATGTGATTAATTAGACTAGGAGTGATCAACCTATTATAAGATTAATCTAGATCGCATTGCAAATTCCAATGACACGAAGAATTGATTTGGGAATTGCTTTAATTGATTGAATTTGATTGTGATTCTCCTTGTTAATCATTCATAGTGAACCCTAGTTTGGTTTATAGGAGGTAACATTTGAATTCCTTTGATTGCAACTATCGTTTGTCCCTTACAACGTATGAATTAATTGGGTGATCTATCAACTAGAATGATTATTAAGCTTTCATGTGGAACCTATATCCCTAGTGTTTAGCAATTTGATTGAATTCTTGATTCTTGTTATCCTAGTTACCATACTCAACCATTGACAATTCTTCGATTTAGCTTAACATTAGACTATAACATGGCTTTGATTCATTCCTTTGGGTTCGACCCTTAGCTTGCCTCTATACTCGGATAAGGTTTGTTAAGCATTTACAAATTTAGTTTGACTTAGGGAGAATTAGATGACGACCTAGTTCCAACCCTTTGTCAAAATGGCGCCGTTGCCGGGGAATGACATTGGTGCTTTGTTATAGTTGTTGAGTCTATTTCATTCTAAAAAAAACAAAAATATTTTCCTCTTTAAGGCTACACTTGTAGCCGTGCTACTAATCATTTCCTTTGAGTTGTATGCATAGAGCACCTGGTCATTCACTTGTGCCATTTGATCCGGAGATTGAGAGGACTATTAAAAAACTAAGGGTTGCTAGGCGATCTTTTAGCTCTAGCATTTCAAGTGAAGAAGATCCGCTATAAGTGGAACAAGCAAGAATGGGAGAGAATTCGAGAATAGCATTGAAAGAATTCGGGATTCCCGGTGCATATAGATTCGAGAGTGGAATTGCTCCACCTACAACACCGGCAAATGATTTTGAATTTAGGCCGGCTATGATCACTTTGATAGAAAGGCGACAATATAGTAGAGCCAAGCATGAGAGCCCGCTAAATCATCTCAAGGAGTTTGAAAAATATTGCAATACTATCAAGGTGAACAGAGTTTCCCAAGAATTCATCCGCCTCAAGCTCTTTCCCTTTTCTCTCATTGGGGCGTGTGTTGGAATGGCTAGACAAGGAGGTTAAGCCGAATTCTCTAACAACATGGGACGAGGTTACAAAGGTATTTCTAACTCGTTTCTATCCACAAAATAAAACGGCGGAGGCAAGAGCTTTGATTCAAGGCTTCAAACAAAAGCCAAGTGAGAGCTTCTATGAAGCATGGGAGAGATATAAGGAGTATCAAAGGGAGTGTCCTCACCACGGGATTCCAACCTATCAAATTATACAAATTTTCTATGGAGGCCTAAGTCCCCAAGGCAAGTCATTCCTAGATGGAGGAGCCGGGGTCCCATCATGAATAGGACGGAAGAAGAAGTGGTGGACATCATTGAGGACGTTTTGAAGTATTATAGAGATTGGCAAGATGGTGAGAGAGAATCAACTAGCAAGAGTAGCTCTTTGATGTACTCGGTTGATCATTTGGATGCAATTAACAATCTCTCTTCACAAATGGAAAACTTGGGGAAGGAACTAAGTGTAATCAAGGAAAAATTGGAGAATTCTTCTTCCCAAGCTCCAAGTCTTCCCTCCCAATTTAAGGGGAGAGGTACTCCTTCTAACTCTCATCCCCCTCCTTCTTCTAGTAACATGCCTAGTGGTTGTTTGTTTTGTGATGTGTGTGGTTCATATGATCATGATTCTAGTAATTGCCCTCATGCTTTTCCGGAGAGTAATGATGATTTTGACAATAATGAGAGTGAATTTGTGAACTTTGTGTCGAACAATAATAATGTGCAAAAGTTTGATAACCAAAGGGGTCAATGGAATAGGAATTACCAAAACCATGGTAATTTTGACAATTATAACCAAGGGAACCAAAGTTCTCGTGGTAATTATAACAATCAACGTTATAGTGGCCAAAATCAAAACCAAAATTATGGTAATCAAAACCAAGGTTATGGAAACCATAATCAAGGTGGTTGTAATCATAATCAAGGTTATGGTCAAAATCAAAATAGGGGTAATTGGAACAATCAAGGGAGAGGTAATTTTAGAAATAATGCTCAAAGAGGCCCTCCACCCGGATTTGCTCCAAAGACTCAAGTTGATAATTCCTATTCACAATCCTCTTCTTCTAGGACTAATTTGGAGAAAATCATTGAAAATCAAACAAAGCTGTTGAGCACTTACATGGCCGTAAGTGATAAGAAATTCAATGAAGTGATGACTCATAATAAGATGCTTGAAAACCAAATTTCTCAACTTGCTAATGCTTTGAAAGACCATGCTAGTCCTTCTTCATTACCTTCCCAAGGCTTAGATCCTAAGAGACCCGTGAATGCTATTGTTACAAGGAGTGGTAAGGTTCTTGAGGAGAATTTGCCTAGGAAAAGTGGAACTAAGGAGGGTCCTAAGGAGGTCTTGGTAGAGGATGAGAGAAATGGTGCATCTTTGAATGAGTTTGTGATTGAGACACCTAGAGAGGTGAGAGTGGAGAAAGAGATTGTGAAACCCAAGCTTCCATATCCACAAAAATTCATGAGACATAAGTTGTATGAACAATTTGGAAGATTTATTGACATGCTTAAGCAACTTCATCTTTCTCTACCTTTTACCGAAGTTGTTACCCAAATGCCCAACTATGCAAAATTCCTCAAAGTCATTTTGAGTGGTAGGAGGTCTTGTGATGTGATGGAGACGGTCAAGTTGACCGAGAATTGTAGTGCAATTATAATGAACAAGATGCCACCTAAGTTGAAAGATCCCGGAAATTTCTCTATCCCTTGTGCCATTAACAAGATGCAAATTGAGAATGCCTTATGTGACCTAGGAGCTAGTGTTAGCTTAATGCCATATTCGGTTTATCAAAGACTTGAGTTAGGGAAACTTATGCCTTATGTAGGGAATAATTTCAAGAGTTAACCCCCTAGATTGAACCCCACTGTGATCATACACTAATGTACGGTGGCGTCCAAAAGAGAAGAAGATAGAGCAAAAGAGTCGCCAACAAGTTTTAGGAACTTGTAAACCGTTCACAGGGTGAACGTTACGCCCCTTAACGATCCAAGAGATCGTCAACTCCATAAGGTCTAGAACCAAATAAGGGTTCGAGGATGAAGGTAAAAATCCAACCTAAAAGAGATTGAACCTGCCCTAATAATAGGCCTCTACTTTATTCTGATCGTATTCATGTGCGCTTTCTAATTAACATGCAATCAGTAAGATTAACCCTAAACCTGTTTATCTATGTTGGTTGAATATTAATGCACAAATAAAACTATTATTGGCGATCACTTGAATTATAATCAAAGTTAACCCTAACAAGATTATTAAATATCTTATTAAGCGTGATTACAAGTACCAATTCCCTTTAAACATGCATAAAAGGTGTGATCAAGCAATAAATAATAAAACATCAAGCAACATAATATTAAATCATGATAATAACAATCATATTAATCATCATAATAATCATGATAATAAAATTATA